AGATTATCTTCTGGAAATGTGTGAAAAGTAGCCACTTGGAGGGAATATTGGAGCATCGAATCTTGACATGATGTTGCAGGCCTTTCTGTGAAGTTTGGGGCTGCGTGCAGTCTCAGCACTGCAGTGGTGGCTTGCTGGCTCTTCCCTGCTTCAGTCACACCCTGCCACCTCCTTTCCCTCCTGTTCTGAGGGAAGAATAAGAGAAATAGGGAACATCTAGGCATACATGGCAGTGGCTAAGTCTGGGGCCCACCATGCCCAGCTCTCCACTTGCTTTAAGTCAGCTGCTTGCTTACGGCCCAAGTGGGAATTGAACAGAAGGCAAAGTATAAACCTATTTTTAGTGAATGCAGAAAAAAATGACTTCTCTGGTGTCTTCCAGAGATATTAAGAGCGAAAAAGGACAAGGAGAAGGGAGGCATTAGAAGAAAATAAATGGCCCTACGAAAGGGAGGGAAGATGAAAACGCGAAGTAGCTGTGACCCAGGGAACTAAATGGTAATTCCATCAGGCTGTACTTCCTCCTGATGCTGAAATAACGTCCTGCTCTTCCCCAGCTGGCAAAGGGAGGAGAGGATTTCTTTTTCTTTTTTCAAATATTGATTGGTGGCTGGAAGCAGCAATGAACTGATCAGCTATCAACTGTTTTATCAGTTATCCAAAAAGTGGGTTCTACAGATTAACTCTGCATTTACAGTGGACTTACTTCGTTCAGATAGGAGGTATGGTTTTTGCATTTGTATGTAACTTGCAGAACAAAAGTCATTGAAAACTAAACCTTTAGGAAATTTCAGGTTTATCCACCAAAATTGTTTTATAGCAGTTAAACCAAAGCCTCCTTGGCACATCAAGTAGATCATCTTCTGGTATTGAAGACCCCCCTCCACAGACTATGGAACAGAAATCTCAGGGAGTCAACTGTTATGCATAAGAATTGCCATGTCTTTCAGTAAATTTCTAAGAAAGTTTTATTTGTACACAAAAGTCCACAAATAAATCAGAACTTACGTGCATATGCAGCATTCATGTTAAGATCCTAAGAGAGAGTTACATCAACGTAATTCCTTTTCTTATCCAGTGACATAGTTAGGTTTACCCTTCTGATATAGTGATTAGAATGAATGAAAAGAGAGCAGAGATTTATGTTATCAAAGAAAGCCTGCAATGAGTGCCAGTTATGAACCAGGGATCAAAAAATCCTCACTAAAAAGCATATAGATTCCCTTAACGAGTATTTAGAGACTAGAGGAATAAAAGGTTAAAGTTACAAAAAGGGACAAAGTGTGTATATTTTAAAGTTGTGCAGAGATACCTCTGGGGGTGTGATATTATTAAATATTAATATCTCAAAACAAAATTACAGAAAACCCTAAATAAATAATGAAAATGCAGTTCTCAAGCAGAGATGCCACTGGAGGACAGATACGTCAGCACTGAGCAACTGCTTAAATATTAATATCTCAAAACAAAATTACAGAAAACCCTAAATAAATAATGAAAAATGCAGTTCTCAAGCAGAGATGCCACTGGAGGACAGATACGTCAGCACTGAGCAACTGCAGGGTAATTCGGAATGTGCAAAAGGGAAGGACTAACTGATCCACAGTTTCCTCACTGACATCTTGAACTAATAAAAACTGCAAGAGCAGGTATCCTTCGCATTTGCTTGAGGTTATAGGGGGAAAATATTTTTGTGCTGCAGATGTTTTTTCCTTTAAGATTCATTCTAAAAGGTATAGAA